TTATCTATCTATCTATCTTCTGCTTTCCTTCTTTCTTTTTCTTCTTTCCCTCATCCCAGTTCCTTCCTTTGAACAATTTCTTTCCCTTCCATATTATCTATTGTACGTTTTGGGTTTTATTTACTTTTTCAGGTTCTTACACTAGGGAGACAATATGATGTTTACACACGTGGGTCCAATTTATTTCACTTATGATATAGTCTCTAGTTGCATCCATTTACCTATAAAAGCCTCGAGTTTATCTTTTTTATAGCTGAGTAATGCTCCATTGTATAAAAATACCACATCTCTTTTATCCATTCCTCAGTGGATGTGCATTTGGGTTGTTTCCAAGATTTACTATGACAAATTGTGCTGCTATAAACATGGGTGCACATATATTGCTGTGGTATGATTTTTTTTATTCTTCTGGGAAAATACCCAGAAGGGGAATAGCTGGGTTAAGTGGAACTTCTAACCCTAGTTTTGTGAGGAATCTCCACACTGATTTCCACAGTGGTTTCACCAATCTACACTCCCACCAGCAGTGGAGTCTTTGTTGATTTTTGCGAACAGTTTATCAAATGGCTGATAAATGGGAGGAGAAAGACTGCAACTCAATGAACTAAAATAAAACCCTGGTAAACTATTTTCTGCTCTAACAAATAATCCAAACAGCAAGTCTAGAAACATATTTTGAGCCAATTTATTATCTAATTAGAATCCTCATCCTTTCAAAGAAGTCAGCATCCAAAAATAAACATTAACCCTAATTATCATACTGTAATATTATAAAATAAGGCTTCCGAATTCATAGCAAGGACACTATAGAAGAAAGTTTAAAGCGTACAACAATGTGTCCTTTTACTGACATGGAGTTCAGAATGACAGTTCTACAGATGAATAAATGTGTAATGGTCAACACTGGCTCTGGCCACACTCTAGTCCTTTACAATGTATACTATATTGTGCAAGTACGCAACAGCTCTTTCAGTCCAATGATTTCGGGCACACAGGGATAGTACACATTAATAATGTTTTGCTGCATGTTATGAAACACAGACAAGGGTACACACAAACCTCCACTGTGTAACCTCCTTCTGTGGCTTCCTTTCCAATGGTGTCTTTGAAGAAGCTCCTTCCTCACCTTACTCCTCTCTGTCACTTATCTTAGCACTCTAACCTACAACACCTACGGCTACAAGCAGCACTTCACAGAACCGTGTGCCCACAGCCTGCATGGTGTGGGCCCACTTCGCCTCCCGGCTTGGGAACCCACTGGTTCACATTCTTTCTGCCTGCATCTGCAGCAAACGTGCCCTGCAAGCCCACACTCCACACTTACAAATCATCTTCGCTCACCACCTTTTCATGGACACAAACTGAAGTGATTTCTAATAAGACTTTGAAAACAACAACTACTATAAATAAATTGTTCCCTGATTCAAGGATACAAATTGTTCTCTTAAGACTGTAGCTCTCAGGGGCTACATTATGCAAGGAATGATCAAACTACATAATGAACATTTAATTTCAAAAACTTACTACAGCAAAAGAAACAATGCAAAGAACAATGGGGTAAGCGTGTTCAAAGCAAGTATTTCGAGGGGAATTAATGGCAATACATCTTCTTCTGTAATTCACTTTTTATATTCACTGCATTTTTTATCACACCTTGTATACAATATTACAGCTACTTTTCCAAATATCTGGCTAAAAACTTGATAAATTTCTAATAGCTTTATAATAAAACTCATGAAAACAACATTTACATCATTAAAATTGCTTAAAGTTGGGAAGAGCAAGCTGTCACTGATAGTCACGTACAATTTCACAGGCTCTGTAAGTGGTACAAATCTTATCAAGGAACAATATTCATATTTGTACAACCCAAGTAAAAGTGTATCACCAAGATAACCCTCACCTATCTAAAATGATAGCGAAAGCCAGGAAGGAAGAAAGGAAGCGGGGGAGGGAGAGGAAAGCATAAAACGCTATCTTAAACATCAACTGAGGACAATACATCTGATGAGTCTGGAAGCCAAATGACGACTTTCTGCAATGAATATCACCTCTCTTATCTGATGAAATCAGGTGTCGAAATGCTTTCACGAAAGTAGCTAAACACATGAAATGCTGGCGACGCTGCGACTGACACTAACCGTTCAGGGTGAACTAGACGTTAGGGAAACGTGGGCTACACTGCCAAGGAGAGAGCTCAGTTTACTCATTTCCGAGACTGCAACCAACTTTAGGCTTATGTGATAAAACATGGTAAGTGTGGGAAAACATCTGTGAAGCAGCTGTTTTATAAAACTGGTAGCCAAGCACGCAGTGCACACCTGCAAGCCCAGCACTCCGGAGGCTGACACAGGAGGATCGCCTCCAGTTCGAGGGCAGCCCAGGATACGTAGTGGGTTCACGGCCAGCCTGGAGTACACTGCATGACCCTGTTTCAAAACAGCAGCAGCACCGGGCTGCTAGTAACATCTAATGCGTACGGAAACTCAGCCTGTTCTGGAGAGAGAAACACCTATGAATCACAAATGAGAGCTTTTCGCACAATCTCAGGACTACTCCTAGGGCAACAGCCCCCAAGGAAATAAACAACGGGGCAGCACAAATGTCACCGAGGACACCGAGAAGGAGCAGCCTATATATAGTGCTGGCCGGTCACTCAGCCTGAAATACCGTCCCTTCACCCCAACAAAGCCCTGACTTGCGTGCACTTGACCTCCAGCCAGCCACAGGGGCACTCATGTCATCTTTTAAAATAGTGAGACGCAGAGCCCAACATGCCCATGAAACAGGTCTGAGCTGCAAGTCCTGCGCCTCTAGAACACAGCACAGGGTTCTCCCGGCGGAAGCCACACAAGCTGTCACTGACTAGTGGCGGCTTCTGTTTCTGCAACAGACGCCGCACTGAGCCAACACCGCAGTTACTGCGGGGCCCTTCCTGCGACGGGTAAATTCCAACTCATGTTCACTACAGCATGATATATAATAAAGACTTAAAAAGTACTTGTTGCCCTTTTAATTACCAAGGTTGAAAGAACTGGTCATGAAAGTCATTAAATGGGCATGAAAAGCTCTGCAGAGTAGCCTGTGCAAGGGATCTCAGGGTCAGGCGGCGAGCGCACGTGTGCGCACTCTAACCCGTACAAGACCCGGAGTCACACGCAAACGGCGAGTCTCCGCACAAAGGCCATGCTGAGGCGAGAAACAAGAGTGTCTACAGCACTCAACAATGACGGGGAAGGCTTCAGCTGGTGTTTCCTTGTATCTCTGAAAATGACACAGTAACTGTTATTACTTTATATGCCAACATTATGTATAATCCCAGTGCTCAAACACTGTTTGCCTATACCTTCCAAGCTCAGAAATACACGCTCAGACAGAGCGCCAAGGGACAAAACAGTACGCCCTGTGAGAGGGAGAGCAGAGTGTCTAACTCTCCACCCCTCTGGAAGCAGGATTCCTAGAATTATAGGAGCTGGGCCACAGTCAGTCCAGGCATCCTAGACAACCTCAGGAGTAGTGGGTTCGAGGCCAGCCTGGAATACACTGCACGACCCTGTTTCAAAGCAGCAGCAGCTCGGGGCTGCTAGTAACACCCTCAGGTGCCCACGCACCCAAGTCTCTCTAACTATAAAACTCAGGCCGTAGTTCCAGTACCTCAAAGGAGAACAGTGACAGTAAGCAATTTAACACACACAAGACATTCAAAACGGTGCGTGGCAAACTGGAAGCACCGTAAAAGCCTCAGCTGTTCCAGTACTATTACACCTATTGCTGCCTCTACTGCTGTTATCACTATCGATGCTGTTCTCGTCATTATGGCCCTTGCTACTGTTGAGAAGAACAAACAGGAAATGGAGAGTCCCTCGCAGGAGACCATGCTCGCCAGATGACCTTGGAGAGGCAGAGGGGACAGCAGGAGAAGCACACCAATGGTGATGGTGACAATTGGTTCAACCTGGTGCTCCGCCCCAACACCCTTTCCTTTCCATTCTGGACCCCCAGCCCATCCAAGCCCCTTGTGGCCACACCCAGGCAATCCTGTCTCCAGGATAAAAGTCCTCCTCCCTGTGTCACTGACACTATTTATAAAAACTGCTCACATCTTTAAATAGATTCTTAACATGACTCTAATCCATTCAGAATTATTTACCCAGAATATACTAGAATATTTTTATAGGAGTTAGGTAATAGAGAATGCTATAAATGTATTCAATTTAAATATTTAATAATGGAAAATAGAAATACTTAGGTAAAAACCTTTAGTCCAAATAAAAATAGCTATCTGTAAAAAAACTACAAAATTAGGAGAAAAAGAGAACTACTGAGGCTCAGGAGTGAGCATGAACTCAGGTGGTGGTGTTTTAGTAGATGGGTCCCTAACGTTTTCTGGCCACAGCTGATCAGAACACATGTGTGCACTTGCCCCAGGCTGGGCCAATCAGATGACTTCTAAAGAATCCAAGGAAAAGACAAGCAGTGCAATCAAATGGGGCACCAGGCCAAGAATCGTAAACCAGCAGCCAGCACCTGTAAGCCCAGGCCACCCAGAGAGGGGAATCAAGAGCCTGAGAGCGGCAAGCGAAGCACAGACAGACGCAAACGTGGGAGGCTGGACAGGCCACCTGCAGAGGTCCTCACAGCAGTTCCTGCCTCCCTCTCTCGGCCCAGATGGCCGGGGCGGGCCTCCTGGCCTCCTCCCCGAGCGGTGCGAGCCTGCCTCCCGTGCTCTTAGCGAACTTAGCTCCTTTCCACTGAAGCCATCCTGGGAATGAATGAGTGTGCCCTAAAACACTTGATGTGACCCTGTAATAAATTACGTGTCACCAGCATGGTTCTTGTCCCGTGTTAACGAGACTAAAACAGCGTTTACAGCATAACACAGGCATTTCTTGAAGATTTATATATAACAACCCCGAAGTACTGCCTTGCTTTGTATCAGCACGATAATTCTGCAAAAGAATTTCAAGCTTCATGAATCACTGTAGAGCTCTATACAGTACCTGCTTCTTGGGAGAAACATGGACTCCTTAATGAACACGGAACCAGACAGCAGGATATACCAGCAGGTCCCAATATCATCAGGACTGAAAAAAAAAACAAAATGGTAATAGGATGAGATGATTATCTGCAACAACAAAAAATACATATAGCAAAGTACAGCACCCGTGTTATTTACACAACTGTAATGAACAGCATAAAATAAACACACAACAGTCACACTGTTCCAGTAGTAGGAACAGCCTACAAGACTCGTATCTCTGAAGTAAGCTATTCATTGGCGTAGTTACATATTTTAAATTTCCTTAGGCCCCTATAGCACCTACCATTCCAAGTTTTATCTTTTAGTTTGATTTTCTGAACAGAAAATACTTTCACTTGCTTCGCGAAATAAAAAATACAAAAATCAGAAGTCAATCCTCCCACTCTTGCCCCTCCCTGCCAAGTTCCCACATGGCTCCAGCACACCGCGAACGCGCCTCTGAGAACACCCTCGCGTGGTCACACGCGTGCACGCGGCTCACTCCCCGCGGACGCAGAGCCACCACGGCGCGCTCCGCACGCTGTCGCCCCCTGGCGGCAGCTCCTGGATCGCTCCGCCCCTGAAGCCGGCTTCCCGGCGCATTTCCCGCCGCAGGGCGTGGGAATCCTTCCCCAGCTGGCCCTCGCCAACGCCAACGCCTACCGACAGTCCCTCCTGCGCGCTCAGCCACACGCAAGTACGTCCAGACAGGTGGGAGCGCTGCTTGCAGCGAGCACGCAGCAGCACCGAAGGCGCCGGGGACAGCGCTGGGTCTCCCGCGCCACACCTCCGGGCCGCCCGCGCCACGCTCCTCCCTTGCCCGCGGGTGCGCTGCTCCCCTTTATCACAAGGGTAGAGCCTTCTGCCAAGGGCGTCTCTGGGCGCTCACAACTGGAAGGCAAACGAGCCGCTGCCCTGGCAAGGCCCGGATTGGGGCGCAGGAAGAGAAGGGCCCTGGAGGAGGGCAGCCTGCGCCCCGCGACTTCCAGGCAACCCGGGGCTCTGCCAAGCCTCCAGAACATGCAGTCTGGGTTTTACTTTCCCTTTGCTTTTCGTACTGTGAGGGCCTCTGTCTCATGTTCACCAGCCACTTCTACGTCTGAGAGTCCCGGCTGCACCTTCCACCCCGTGTACCTCACTCCCGCTCCCTGTTCTGGGCGTGCCCCACGGAGCCCCTCTGGGCCAGCGCGTCTGCGCGGAGCCGCGTTCACGCCTGCTCCCACGGTCACCGGCCCACTCGCTCTGCGCGGTCCGTTTCTCTTCCTACCTTGATTAAACCTCACTACCATTAAGAACATTCTCTTTCTGAAAACTCCAGTTGCGAGTACTTCTCCCCCAGGGCGCAGCTAACCTCTGACTCCGTTTATGACGCTTTCTAGCACCGGTTGATTTGTTTTACACAGGTAAGTGTGTCAAACTAATTAGTTGGGCTACCGGCTCAGCTCCTATAAAAGGACGAATCCCAACACAGCCCGGCTTCGCCAAGGGGCAGGCTGCGTCTCTGCCTCCTCACCCGGGGCTTCTGGCGCCAGCACTGCAGTCCCCGGCAGTCCCACCAGCTCCCCCAGGACACCACAGACGGCAAGACCCACAGCCACGGGTGGCGCGGGCCCAGGGCACCCCAGCCAGCGCCTCGAGTGCTTTGCCCTTTTGGTAAATGGATTCTGAAGTTTCTAAAGGTCACTGAATCTTACTTGCACAACACCAATCACTGCTACCTGGCCACTGTCACCAGCGTGCTGCTCCGGACGCAGGGCAGCCACAGCGAAGCCGCTTGGCCCTGATCTTCCCAAGCCCCTTCTCGAGCAACTTCGTGAACAGGGGCGGGCCACCGGGCAAGCGGAGCACGAGCACTGTCCCACAGCTTGGTCCCAAGGGACAGCTGCAGAGGTGAACTCATTTCTCGCACCCACATGCACGCACTTCCAAATGACCCACATCCTTTTCTCTCCAGTTTTTTAGATCATTAGGTTTTGCAACCAATGATCAGGCAGCTAGTGGGGGGGGCGTTGGTTATCTTTGTTAATACAAGTTAAGAGCGTTATTATTAAATTCTTCCTCGTGCCAAGTAAAAATGATATCATCTGCCAGACTCAAAACTAGTTTAAACATTTTTGGTAACAAAAGAAACAGGAAGGAAAAAAGGGATTTTTAGTAAACTCATTTTAATCTATTCTTAGAACTTTCCCTTCATCATAAATACAATGGTATGGGGAAATAAAGCCTAGAAAACGAAGAGCCATAACACCAATACTCTGGAGGCTGAGGCAGGAGGCTGCAAGTTCAGGGCCAGCAGGGCTACACAGTGAGCTTGAGGCCAGCCTGAACTTCAGAGTGAGACCTTGCCTCAAAAAGACAAAATTTAAATCTAAAAAAAGGAAAGCACAGTGGATCGCACTGCCAGGCCTGTTCGGGCGCAGCTGCTACCCCAGCCTTCTCCGGCGCTGAGTTCAGGCCCGGCGCTGAGTTCAGGCCCGGCCCGGCAACTAGGCAAGACCCCATCTCAGAACTATCTAAACTCATGGGCTGCAGACATAGCTCGGCGCAAAGCCCTGAGTTCAGTCTCTAGTGTTGGAAAGACAAAACACTGTGTGGCCTGGAGCAAGTCACTAGAGCTGCTGCCAGGATTACATGAAAATAATCATTAAATGCAAATGGTTTTACCATGCTGAAAAGTACCACGTGTGGCACGGATGTCTAGACTGCAACGTGGAGACGGTGACAAACACCAACTGACTTTTCAATGACTTCCTACCTGTCAACTCTAGGGGCGAGTTAACAGGGACAAGATAAGCACAAGGTTTCCAATCGCACCCTCCTGTCACGGATCCTGAGCACACGTGGGGGACAGGCAGCAGGTTTAAAGCAGGCCAGCACGGTGAGGCCCTATTCCAGCACCCTGAGCGCTGCTGGGTCCTCCAGTCAGGGCTGATGCTCCGTTCAGGAAGGCCGCGGAGAAGATCTGCAGGCACGGCAGTGCGGCCCTGGGTGCGGTGAGTGCCATGGGCCCAGCCCGGTCTCCACCTCCCAGCCGCCCCCGGCGAGCAGCTTCCTCCTCTGGTCCTCCCGCGGGCCTCGGGTGCCGCCCCCGAGGGACAGGCACCGGGCAGAGGCCCATGCTGAACCTCTGCAACTGTCGGTGAAACAAACCTCTCCTCTCTAACTCTGCTCTCTCAGTATCCTGTTACAGGGATGGACTTCAAAGGGCGTCACACTGAGATGTCCTCTGCAGGTCCCTAGAAAGCTGACTCACACCCCCAGCCACTTCTCCTCACAGGACACGCCAGAGGTAACTCGGAGGAACCGTACTGGAGTAAGCACTTGGGGAGAACGATCACTCGGGCAGCAAGCACCGCTGCACACACGGTGCACTCGCTTCACAGCAGGCTCTGCACCGGCCATAACTGCTCTGTTCCTCAGGCGTCCCTCTTTGGCTAACTGGGACTAACAATGCAACACAGTGACTCCTATGGTAAACAATCCTAGAAATAGTTCTATGCTAGAAAAGTCTTCTTCTTCCTATCTATCTCTTACAGAACTCACATTTAGTTTCCACTCAAAATTCTTTCTTGTAACATGTCACCATCAAAATCTGTTTCGCTTAGTCAGTTAGTCTTTGTGCGTTTGTGTGTTGTGTTTTTTTTGAGACATGGTCCAAAGCTCAATCATGGAAGAATGCTATGTATTTCCAAGTATCATGTCTGACAGTGCCAGAAACAGGTAGAAAAGAAAAGTCTAAAAGAGTCCAAATATCAAAGCAGTACTCTGCATATCTCCCTGACAGGCTACACACATGCAGAAAGAAGACCCATGATTTTTAGACCAAACTAAGAATGGATAGTTGGTGTGATTCCCACACATCCCATCCTCCATGGACAAAAAGAAAGCCGCAGAAGCCAAGGTCGAGATTGACAAGACCCTCCACAAGCCTGAGCAAGGAAGGAATTAATAAGGTCAAACAAAACAAAACATTAATAGCGGCTGGGGATTTAGCTCGGCGGCACAGTGCCTTCCTGGCAAGTGCAAGGTCGTGAGTTTGATTCCCGGTACCAAAGAGGAAAAAAAAAAAAAAAAATTCCAAAAAAACCCAGACCATCACCAATGACAAGCAGCAGGGGGCAGCAAAGAGCAACCAAGGACAGAATAAAGTCCGTTTCCTCCAGGGTGTCCACCAAGGAGGGGGGGAGTGTGGGGGGGAAGGGGAGAGAGAGATAGAGAGCAGGACAGGGAGAGGGAGAAGGGGAGGGAGAGAGGGAGAGAGAGAGGGAGGGGGAGAGAGAGAGAGCGAGAAACCCTGTATTATAGATTTTTGTGTGGCTAATGCACAAAGTAAGCTCAATGGGTAAATTAAAGCAACACACCGGAAGTGATCCTCCAGTGACACCAGGACAAAAGAAAGGTAAATGCACACAGAGCTTCTACGAAGGAATGAGGTATTCATCATATTTTAGAAAAAATACCACCAGGAGTTAACAACTTCAGAGTCCATGCTCTACCTTGAGAACTGAGGGAGGTGGAAAGTAAACTATAAAATAACGAAGTTCACAGGTTAAACTATGTAAGTATACAATGCCCACCACATGCAAACAAGTACCATTTAAAAGGTAGAAGACGATTTTTGTCCTATTCCCTAAAAACCTAAATTGTAAAGAAAATACTGCACTTGAAAGCTCAAAAAGAAAAAGATATGTGAGTTTAATATTTAAATTGCTCAGAAAACCTTTATTTTCCACTCGTTTCAGGAGCTGGAAACCCACAAACAGGGTATGACAGTAACACCAAAGAACCTGGGAACCGCTTACCGGGTGAAATTATTATGGCACTGACCTAAAAGTCACCAGCACAACAACGTAATAGGGAAAAGGACTACTCATCTCTTGGTCATAAAGCCGAAGTCTGACAGTCTCTCATACTCCGACTGTACTCTGGTCTTCACACGAAGCTCAACAGAGGACAAGAACAAACAAGACATTTCCACACAAGCTAGCAACAGGCCCCCAAGATGGCGCTATGCTCATCACAGGGTCACAGATTATGCGCACCTCAAACAACGTGTTCTTTCGTTTTCAAAACTGCACTTACACAAACTGGTAAAAGTAGAAGCGTGCCCGTTCAAGGGCCGCAGACTGGCCCAACACCAGGGATCTGATTATGTCAATCTATAATCAGTCTCTAAATTCTGGTCTTACGAAATCAGGCTTCACTGCTTGCCATAGGCTTCTCCTTGCTCACTAGTGCTACGACCTCAGTGTAGCACAACGTAAGCGATCACTAGAATCAAGTCAGGGTACAAACTCAAGGGAACTGCATGCAGGGTTATGTACGACCTGCCTTCCCGCTGTCGGCTCGGCTCACGGCCACTGTCTACACCGTGCTGGTTTACCGACAGAGCACTCTACCTTCCACTGAGGTGCCGTGCAGTCATGAACAGCACGGTCGGGGACCATGAGAACGTGCATGGGCAGCCGGGGCTTTGGCTGCTGCTGTCCCCCGTGAGCAGAACAAGGCAGGAAGGGCTGTGCATCTACCCCACACGCAAACCCATCCGCTTCGGTGCAACAGCATGAACAGGTCCAACAATGCTGCTGCCTGGGCTGACAGTCGAGGCTGCACAACCCCAACACCAGGCTCACACGCAGCTCTCACTTCAGCCAATGGGACGGGGGCAGCCTCAGCTTCTCCTCATATGAAACTGGGGTGAGCGCTAGCAGCCGCCTCAGAGACCCTGAAGAGTAGGCACGGGTTAAAGCAGACAGAGCACTTGGAGAGCACGCGGGGCACAGACAGGCTTGTTAAATGTTTGCCCCGGCTCCGTCATTAACATTGCCAGAACCACATTCCAGAGGGGAGGACAAGTCACAGGAAATTAGTGCTGACTGCACTGGTCTGCTTCAGTGACTGTCAGGCATAGTCACCCCAGCTTCCACACACCGTATCTGTGCATCCACTCTACTGATAGCTTTTAATGCTCCTGAAAGAAACAATTATTTTAGCGGAACGCAGTGGAACATGCCTACAACAACAGTTACCTGAAAGGCTGAGGCAGGAGGTCAAGTTCAAGCTGAGGACGAGCGAGAAACTTAGCAAGAACTTGTCTCCTGCAAAGGTACACGGCCGGATATGACGTCTGGGATTTGGTTCTAAATAATCCACTTATAATTGGGAGAGGAACAGAAAGATGAAACATAACTGGCCATGAGTTAAAATGTTAGATGATGAGTAGTCCTTGGGGAGCCACTATCTGTAAGATTACCAGTTTTTATAATTTTCCATAATGAATTGAGTAACAATTTGGGAGGGAAAAAACTCACTTGTAGTTGCCTGAAAAAGTGGAGACTGTTTTTTAAAGAACACATCCACGAGGACCTGGCTGCAAGTCTCCGGCGCACACGGGCCGTCACACAAAACTGGCCAGTGTGCAAATGTCCAGCCAGACCTCTTCCACAGGGGTCTCTGCACATTCTGCTTCTTGTGACAAAACCACGTGCCCCAGACAACTGAGCACACTTCTGACACCTAGTTCAGAAGGCACACGCCCCTCTCTACGTTTCCAACCCTCTGTACAAATCTATGTTCCCACAGTTACTTTGGTTTGGGAGTTTCTGTTGTCATTTTCCTTTTTTCTATTTCTACCACTCTCAACAGGTTTTGGACTCCTAAGGGCAGAAGATGTATTTTATTTATTCAATAAATATTCCCTATAATAGGCCTGGAAGGGAGTAATTATGCAGTAAGTGCTTTGAAAAACAGGAAGCAAAGTCAACTGAACAACAGTCACTCATGGTAAACACAATCAAACCAACAGTACACCCAGTAAGTCAGTTCATATATCTAATGTCATTTATCTATTATGTGTCTACCACAGTTTTAAAAACTCAGCTGTCATTTCTTATGAAATATATTACTCACCTCAAAGGACTATCAGTACAATTTAAAAAAGAAACCATACCCAAAGAGCTATGGGCAGTTTATCTTCCTATTTCTGAAAGCAGTACAGACTGAAACACGCCCCTTACACACACTATCTTCACATCTCATCGAGTGTAGCTGTGGGAATATTTGTTCTGTCCTGTTGGAAAGACTACGCTATTTCATATTTCATAATGATAAAAATGACAAATACTCCTAATATGCAACGGTATCTCCAACCCACACTTAACAGATAAAGATAATGTGAACTTATCAGGATAGGACTGCAAACTGCCCTTTTACAACGGGAAACAGCTGAAATGTTCCACATTTCTAAACCACTAAAAAGTAAGTTAACACAAAAACAAGGTTTTGCTGACTTGGCCAACCATTACTAATACTTCTTTGATATTTTAAGGAAATTTAGTCATTGCATTATACATTGTACAAACAGAAAAGAAACACCTACTAGTATAAAACTTCATTTGCTTCGTGTCTTTCATATCTCACAGTTTCACACATTAACCTGCAAAAGGGAAAAAGAAATAAGTTCAGCATTTGAGTAAAAAACCAGTAAGACTTTAAAAAGTTAAATAAATCACGTAGTCTTGAAAGTCAAGAGTATTTAAACCGCTCACCACAATCACTTATCACCCTCAAGAAACACATTACTCATACCCACGTTAATGAAATTAAATACAGTGATATGCTGGAAAACAGACATAAGGGGTCAGCTTTGCCACACTTACTTTTTGGGGGTATTTTATGCTGTGGCAATGGTATCTGGCCAAATTAATGTTTCCTGAGGCAGAAAGAGAATGAGAGGGAACCACAAAGCTGGAAAGAAAACCCTATTAACTTAAAAAGTGATAACATCATTCACAGCTCCACATCAACACTACTTAACCAGTATGGAGCTGTAGACAAAAGCACACTTGTACTGACTCAGTATTTTTATGACCAATGACAATGCAAGCCTTAGAATTAGTTACTGCAGCCAATTCATCCCAAAGGAAAAAACTGTGAAATTATGAAACCATGAATAAGGTTCAAATATTTAAAATTATGTCAAGAACAGGAATAAAGACGCATCACACTGTGCGAGTCACAATGAGGTGTTCGAGCAATGCCCCTCACAATGACTGCCTCTCTGGGCAAGGAGCCGTGCACAGGAAGCGGGCGCTGGCTGCAGCGTGAGGACGGCTCCAACAGCACCTCCATCTGGGGACAGGGGGCTGCTGCTCCCCAAGCAGCCTCCCACCAGGATCAATGCACACCCGCCCCTCCTGTTTGCTAAGCCCAACTTTTCCTCTTTGCTCTTCCAACCCCACCCCCTTGCGGGGATCCAGGCTGACAGGACCACACATGTCTGGGAGCAGAGCTGCATGGCTGCCCCCAAGAGCCCTGCTCAGTTGCCCCTGCACCTTCCCAACACTACAAATACACAGAGCTGTAAAGGTGGTGCCTGGAGCTCTACAGCCTGGGCCCCGGTGCCATTAACGGCAGCACTGTGTCTGCCACCCTGATACTAGCTTGAGACGAGTCAAGTGCGTTCCAGCTCAGGGACGTCACTGATGTCCTGACTGCCTTGGAAGCCCCTCCTTCCGGCCCACGTCAGGGAGATGCACTGGTCTTGTGTTACCAGGGCCACATTTCCCACAGTGAGTTCTAAATAAACAGCAAGCAGTGCAATCCTGCACCTGGCTGCCTCCTTCACTGGGGCTGTCCTCAAGCACCATGACTGGCTTGCTCCTGAGTGCTCCTGCTGAGGTCCTCGTCCTCAACCTCTCTCTCACAACATGTCCACCAAGTGCCCCTATTCCAGGAGCAGAGGCAAATCTCAGACAGACATCACTGAACAGTTTGCTTCAACAGGTCAGATCACAGTTCTTCACAGGAAGGGGTGACGGTCACAGTGGTGAGTTTAAGAAGCACCACTGGCTCCTGTCCTCGCCCCGCCTTCCCTGCCCCTTCTCCTGTGCAGTCTGCTCCCTTCCCACTCAGTCACTTCACCAACAGACGCACAGCTCTGCCCCTCCTCCGCTGTGAGCACCGCCAAGCGTCCCTCCCTCCAGAGAGCCTCTACACTTGGGTTTCTCCATTACAGAGCATCTCCTTCCAGAGCTGTCTACACTCTCCACCTTCACTTCTCAGCTTCTCCTGTGATTTGGTCCTGAAACGCCAAACAACGGCTCTAGATGTCGTCAGCATCCTCCTCCTCATCCAAACCCTACCTGGCCTTAGCGCCTTTCTCCTCACACAATACGCATCTTCTCGAGGCTCCTGTCCTGGTTTTGCCGGGCTGCACTTAACTACCCAGTCACATTTCCCGTCTCCTTGGCGTTCCTCGCTCTGCTCCTCTACGGACCCGCTCCTGTCACCTCCAGAGGCCAGTTCTTGGCCCCCCTCTCCACGTATGGAGTCTCACTCAGTTTACGCTGTCACACAGAATTCATACACTGATGACTCTGAAAGCGATGCCCCAGACCCAAACTCTCATCAACACATAGCCAAGTAAATCCTGAACATTCAACAGCCACCTCACATTTCCACTGTCCAAAACGGAACTTGAGTTTCTCACCCAAAATCTGCTTTCCCAAAGTCAGCACCCACGTGTTCCTGCTTCCCTGCAGTCATCACCCTGTCCTGTGTCTTCTTCACATCCGTCTTTCTGCCGGCACCTGTTTCCAAGAGTCCTCCCCCAGAACTGACCAGATTCACCACTGGGAGGAACCCACAAAGCCTCATGGGCTCACAGATGTGTGGCCCTGGACAAGTCCACTGCTGGGCTTGTAGCTGGGTGTGGTGTCAGGAGGCAAAGCCTGGCGGGAAGAGGTGGTCCCTGGGGGCGTGGCCTGGAAGGGAGTTACACAGGTGGCCCTATTCCTGGACAGCTATGCTGTAAGCTGCTTCTCCTCTGCTAGACCCACCTGCCACATCACCTGCCTTGGAAACAGCCAAGTGTGGACTGAAACCTCTATAAACTGTGAGCCAAAATAAACCTCTACCTGATGTGTGTCGGGTATTTTGACCCAGCAATGAGAAAACATCTAAGACAACCATCTCCTCCAGTAAGACCCAGCCAAACGTCGTTATATGGTCTTCATCTTTTATAGGATCCCCAGTGTGACTTACGCTTCCACTCTCGCATGCCTGTTGCCCATTCTCCACCTGGCTTCCAGAGATCTTTCCAAACTTGGAATCAGATCATCTCACACCTCTGCCCGTAATCGCCACAGCCCATAGAAGACAGTCCAAACTCCTTTATGCTTGAATACAGGCTCTCCCCAAACTGCTGCACTAGCTCCGCTACACTTACTTCCTTACCAGGCCTCCCCCCAGCGCACACAAACCCTGTTCTTACCACACAGGAAAGACTCCTCCACACCGCACAAATTCCTGCATGGCTGTTCCATCTCAGTGTCACCACCTCTGACTCCAAGGTCAGAGCAGCTCGTCACCCATGCTTAATACGCCCAGCCACGAATGTCTGAACGAAACAGCACTGACCATTTCTGTCAGTCCTGCCTGTCCCGCTAGCAGCACAAGTTCAGGGATGGCAGGGTCTGATCTATGTCATCGATGAGTCTCCAGTCTCCATCAGCATCTAGCACTTGGTACACGTGCAATCAATGAACACTTACAAAAGAAATAAATGGAACCAATACTATCAGAAAGTCATGATAAACTATCTCCTATGACAATGTCTTAAATAAAATAGTACCAAAAAGTGTTTGTCTTTAAACATTATTAGCAAATGTTCAGCAAAAGGAAACATCTCCCCTGAACTTGTAAAGGAAAATGATCTAAACGAGCCTATAAATTAGTGACATCCATCTATAGTGATGAACAAAATATGTATTTCCAGCAGGCTCTTGCTTTTAACACTAGGGCTGCATAAGGATGTAGCTCAGTGACAGAGAACTTGCCTAGACTACAAAAGGCCCTCGGTTCAATCCCAAGGCAAAAACAAACAAACCAAAAGCCCCACTGAACAGCCTCAAGCAATTACTCTGCTTTTTAACAATTTTTGGTCTCTGCTCCTAACTGCAGCACTTTTCCTACTTGGCAAACATGCTGCTCCTAATCTGTAAGGACTAAGGGAATAAACACTTAAACAATAGTTTAAATTGTGCTGAAAAACATACAGTTCTCAAGAGAACCTCCAGACTGCAGAGAAGTATGTGACTCCAGCAGGGCTGGGCGCAGGGCTGGGCTCCGGGGCCTCTGTGGGGCGGGACCGCCACAGGGAGGGTGCCACTGCCTGCCTGTCACTGGACATACCAATTTAAAGTCCCCGCTAGGAGCATTTGATTTTCTAAAACTGAAAAACTGTATTATATGAAAGTTTTAACTGTTCTCTACTAATTCTGGTAAAACTTACTTATAAAATTCAAAGAAAATAACCTAAAAGAGATATATCTGTTTTTCCCAGAAATAGGAGTACGTATTATAAACCCATTTATTCAAGTCCTTAGGTTGATCTGTACCTCGATTTCTGTTATAATTCATTTGGTATCCTGATCTTGTTCTTAGAAAACCAACTTAGTGGGGCTGGGGATTTAGCTCAGTGGCACAGCGCCTGCCTGGCAAGCACAAGATCGTCAGTTCGATTCCTGGTACGGGGAAAAAAAAAACAAAACAAAACAAAACAAAACAACAACAACAACAACAAAAACCAACTTAGTTAAACTGATGTTGTCCATATGTAAGACTTTTCAATCCAGGATGAATAAGATAAATATCTCAAAGACCTCTCCCCATAACTATGGAGTTATATAAACTAATTTGTCAAGCTCCAAAACAGACTTTGTAAGATTTAGACTATACTATGCCCTTAAACTGATCAATTGTTTCTGGAAAAAAAAAAAAAAAAATTACCTTTGAAATGGCAAAAAGTTGGTAATTGTGAAGTTGGTTGATGGGTGTGTGGAACTTCGTTGTATTTCTTTTTTCTACTTTTGTGATTTTGGAAATTTTGAAAAGATATTTAAAAGTATTAAAAGTTCTTTATGATATGAAATTCCTATCACCTGAATTTTATACCCACACATATTAAACACACTCAACATATCTAAATTATCCAATTGTGGTTTCATACACAGTACACAATGAGGGTGTGACCTTTGTATTTGCACTTTAACTAATTACATTTGCATTTGAAGACTGCATTTAATTAAACAATTAGTATTAAATCTTTGAAAAGTTATAAGATACCAAATGAAAAAATTACTCACTTTAATTTGAGCCATCTTCTAAAATCCCAACGGTTTTGCCCTTCCTAATAAAACTTGACTGAATTTTTAAACACTTAATCTGCAATCTACTTTAATTTAAATGATTTTCATTTAAAATTTAATTTTAGAAGTACTCAATCCTCCTGATACTTTTTTCAATTAACAACGAAATATGAAACTGACATGCTCAAAAATTAATTAGTGTTTAAAGAGTAAAGAAGAAGTATACAGTATGGGAGAAACATTCCTTTCATAATTTAAAAGTGCTGGCACCACAACTGGCCACAGCTGGGGGAAACAAGACCTTCCCATTCTGCCCCAGTTGGTGTTAATGTGTAACGCACCTTCCAGGGTCCTTTCCATTTTCTATTACACACAATTAAGGCAAAATCACTTCTATTCTTTATTATGAAGCACAGATAAGTGATAAAATTTTTTCATGAATGGATGCCACTGAAACAAGTACAGGAGAAACTGTTTCTCAGAGAAAGGCAGACCACTCAACACAGAAGTCAAGTCTACACAAACACCTAAAACACACTGAAATTGTCAACAGAATCACTCTCCAAGTAGCGAGAAACATTCTGGTTTCTAATGTATCTCAGCACTAAGCGGTATAATTTTATTTGCCAAGAGGGTACACGATGGTCCTTTAGTGTGTTCACTAAATGGAATTTACTCCTTTCAGTCAAGGGGAAGAACGCTCTGCAAGAGAGGTCAAGGAACATTACCATAACAGAAATGCGGACAGAATGTGTGAGGACGACTCAATTCAACTTTGTAAACTTATAAAGAGTTACAAAACGCAGTTTTATAAGTAAGTTTTCTTTGAGCCTACTTACTGATAATAAAGGCATATATGAAGTTCCAGCACTCTATCATCACGTTAAAGTGACCTACCTAAGCTGATGCTCTCTCAGGTTGGACAAGGCTTCCATACCGTGTAAATAGGAATACACTATTTCCAGGTCCTGTTTCAAAGAAAAGAACAGAAATTACTAAAACTGTTAGGGAATGAAGGTTTCTAAAGTAAATTACAAATTATACAATGGGTAGCTTTCTAAAAAATGTTTTCTCAGATATTAAAAATAAATACTACAAGAAAAGATGACTTCTACAAGTTACAACTGCCGTTGGGATAAGCACAAAACTTTTTGAAGTAATAAACAGAACCCCCTCAAAATTTCTAAGTTACAGTCACAGATAAAGAGATAGCCAATATAAACCAAAATAATAAAATATCAAATTCATAACATGAAGAAATGGAATGCAACTGGAGACAAATAAATTCTATTTGTTCTTTAAAACAAATGGACAAACTTAGGAAAATAAATTCTTTGTAAGTTACACTTTATCATCTACCTTCTACCATTTATATCAAAATAGCAAATATGTTTTAATTTTGAAACATACATTATTTGCCAATACCATGATTACTCTAATTATCTTAACATAAAAGTAATACATGATGCTTCATGACTACACTTAAAAGCATTCTGAGTATGAAATCAATTTTTTAAGTCTTACCAAAATGCAATTTTATACATTTAGAATGAGTTAAATTTAAATATTTTCTCTTTAAAAAAAGAAAGTATGTCTTATTTTCTAGATCCAAAATACACAGGAAAAAAGATTCAAAGTTATTCATAAAAGTTGTTCATAGGTAAAAATGTAAAGTCCTGTGCACATTCATACATGACAAGGAATTAGTATTCTAGCAAAGAATCAGTACTTTAAGACTCCAATACCTATATTACACGTGGTTTGTCGTAATGACAATTTAAATGGATATTTACTCCTCCTGTAAATATTAGTCAAAATCTAAAATAAAGGTCTTTTAAAATATTTGTAAACCTCTGGAGGGAGGGCCCCTGGCGCATGGGGAGCCACGGGCAGGGAGCGCCGGTCTTCC